AATTATAAACAATTACTGTTTAAAAAACTAAATTTAAAATGTGTATAAATTTTTGTGGTGATTTATTCCAATAAGACCATCAAATTTATTGTAATGCATCAAAAACGTCAAAATTTGCGATAAATTTAACTTTAGCCTAAAATAACTCTTCAACTATCAGGTTTCTCGCAAAATCATAGGAGACACTTTTTGTAGAGCGTTCAATTCTCTATAAAAATATGTGATTGAATTTTTTTTCACGACACACGACGGGCTAGCAATAAAAATCAGAAGGTGCAAAAAAAAATTTTCCCATGTTATTCTTATGGGAAATAGAAAAACGCGATGCGGACCGTCTTAATATTAATATTAAGAGCTCAAATTTTAACTGGTATTTTTTTACGTTGAAAAGAAACTTTTGAACCTCTTTGCACGAAAAAAAAAAAATTATTTTTTTTTTTGAATCACCCTAGTATTCATTTATATTAGACACGTAATCTCCGAACCTACCGGACCGATTGTTGTAAAATTGTGTGTGTATATTAGGAATGAGATGATTCAAAGCTAACCAGAATTTGTTTAATCATCCTCACCAACAACGTGATACCATCCCCTCAAAATTTTTAACAGTAAATATTTTTTATATTATATAGAGTAATATACTCCTACATCTTGTTTACGAATCCGCATTTAGTTTTAAACACAATTACTTTACAAAAATGTTTCTGCAATATTTGCTGCGTGCTTGGGTTGCGAATAAAGGTTTGGCACTAATGAGTTCGAATCTCGTTCCCGTTACATCTTTTTTTTAATCAAATCAAAAACGGTTCACCCCATTTACTCGAAAATTACAGAAATGTCGCACCGCAGATAATTTTTATTACAATAACGATTCCTCAGCCAAAATAATTTTCGAACCATTTTGCTGTATTAATCAGCTCATTCCTCTGGTTTAAGGAGGCAAAATATATCAACTTTTGTTTTCTTTTATGCGACCGCTGAAACTTGTACGTGATTATAGTCGAATTCTTTCGAAGAATAAGCATAAATACTCAACGTTAACCATTATAATGACAAAGACTTCATTTTCCCGTAGATTATCTGGTTTAAAAACATATATTTTCTATCGATCGCACTTGTGTGGACCACGGTACATTGCAATTTGTGTCCCCGCGGCGTGGGGCTGTTATTTACGTCATTCGTATCACAAAACAAAAATCACAAGATCAAATTTCATAATTTTTCGAAGAGGCGGGATTTCAACCTCTTTTTTATTTTTCTGTCTTTAGTTAAAATTCTTATTTCATACATATATTAATAAGATGTAAGAATAAAAGGTAAACCTTTTTACTTCCTGAGCGAAAGGAAAGGAAGTATTGTAATCGAGTTGGTTGACCGAATCTATATTTTACGTTTTCTCGACTTTTCATAACCCCTACAGTACGAAGAAATAGGTCTCTCGTTTTCGTCTGTCTGTCCGTCTGTTCGTCTGTCTCTCTGTCCGTCTGTTCGTCTGTCCGTCTATTCGTCTATCCGTCCGTCTGTCCGTCTGTCCGTCTGTCCGTCTATCCGTTTGTCTGTCTGTCCGTTTGTCCGTCTGTCCGTCTGTCTGTCTGTCCGTCTGTGCGTCTATCCGTCTTTCCGTCTGTCCGTCTGTCCGTCTGTCTGTCCGTCTGTCTGCCATCCCGGATTTTTATTAGACAGATAATCTCCGAAAGTACTGGGTCGATTGTTGTCAAATTTTGTATTTATATTAGGAATATCATGTAGAAGGTAAAACGCTAACCAACATTTGTCTAATCATTCCCACCAATAATCCTATGACGTGACTTCAAAATTGTATGTTGTAACTGAGTATTAAATTTGCAATTTAATTTTGAATCTGCAAAACCGAATGCTTTGAAATCCTGTAGATGTTTAAAGTTATGATAATCATGATAAATTTTTAATCAAAATATATTTGCTTATCTCCTCCAAAAAATCGATAATGTCAGCTCAAAATTTTGCCGAATAAATCCTATCTAAAATGTCCAAAATATAATGAGTCTATAGTAGTGATTTATCATTTCATGAATCAATGCGTGAATTTGTTTTATTGATTTAATCAAGAACTGTAAAACCGAATGCTTTGAAATCTTGGCGATAGTTTAAAGTTATCATAAGCATGATAATTTTTTTACCAAAATTTATTTGCTCATCCTCCCTAAAGAACTTATGACGTCGCCTCAAAATATTGCTGAGTAAATCCTATCTTTAATGTGCAAAATATGATCAGTGATACTAGTGATTTATCACTGTATTAATATTTTTTAGATATAGATTAGATTAGAAATATATTTGTTTATCAACCCCAAAAAATTGATGAGGTCATCTGAAAATTTTGCCGAATAATTCCTATCTAAAATGTGCAAAATATGATCAGTCTATACTTGTAATTTATCAATGCATTGACATTTTTAAATTTACTTATACAGAGTGACTCAAAAAAATTAATGAATCAGTCAATTTATTTTCTTAAATAAATCAAGAATATCTGTTTATTCCCCCCAAAAAATTGATGACGCCATTTCAAAATTTTGCCGAATAAATTCTAACCAACATATGCAAAATATAATGAGTTTTTTCTTGTAATTTATAATAGCGCTCATATTTTTTAGATTTGTTTAAACCAGTCGCTCAAAAAATTTTATGAATGAGTCAATTTATTTTATTGCTTAAATCAGGAACGGCTCACTCCATTTTCTTAGAAAATTTTGGGAATACAATACTGTTATTTTTAGTATTACACTGCACCAGTCCAAGTTGATATACGTGCCCTTGTTGTTTCTTGTAATTGTAATATGCTGTGACTTCTTTTCTTTTGTGCTGTGACTAGTATTTGATAAAATAAGAGTTATAATATTGAGAACATTTTGTTGGATTGTGGTTTAATTAATAATTTTAGACCTGTGTTTTGAGAAGACAAACCCATTCAAATCAAACTAATTTCTACGTGACATTCTTTCGGTGCATAAACATAAATAAATACTTCAGCGTTAGATTGCTATTACCTAGTCTTGAAGGACAAGGGTTGTTAGAGATACCTATATTATTTTAAGTTCAAAATGGTGGGTCATTAGAATCTGACAACGGACTGTCAGTCAGTAGCGTAACATCCACAATTTAGAAGGGGGTGGTTTTTAAATTTATTTTTTTAAAGCGCAAACAATAACACGCGGAAACATATATTTAAGTGAACTGGTCAACACACTAGACGAATGCGGATGAATCTATTATGCACTAATCTAAACAGGTACAGGTACCCATCTCAGGTAGAAAAGTTCATTATGACAGAGAAACGATGGCGGAAGCCTGTGAGTTCACTTAAAAAAATAATAATAAAATTCGCAAATTATCAAGTTTTATAATATTTCGAAAAAGTTGAATATGTTGTAATATAGACCAGGGTCGAGGAAAGTTCCGTCGAAATAACTTTCGACCAATTTTTGTTACTTTTCTTCATTTTTCCGTTGTTGGGATAAATGATTCAGGCTGCCATTGATCTACAATTGTATTGTATTGATTATATAAATGGGTTATATAAGATTTCCTATTTCTGTATCTATTGTTAAGCCGATGTAGCTATTTTTATCTCCGATGTGTTTAATTTTTCCTGTATTTTCTTATCAATATTGGAAATGGAACGTCACGCTACTATTGAACGATTTGGAATTTTATAAAACGGAATTCAATTTCAACTTATGAAACATGTTGTTTTGCACAGGAATGAGCTGAAATATATATATATACGACTTGTGTCGAAGTTGTTCGTGGTTGGCCGTGCAACTTAATTAATTTGAAAATAACAAGGCTGCAGCCGCAGATATTTGACCCTTTATTTGACAGTTATTTGACCGTATCTGTCAAGCTCAACAAACAACATTATTTTATTGTCAACATCATTATTTTAAGAATAAATTGCACGGTCTACTATAGAGGTTTTGTTTCGATATTATGATATTAAACGAAGCTGATACTAATAGCACGGCAATTATTATCAAAATGAGACCTAGATCGTTATTTAGATCTCTTGACTTTGGAGAAGAGGATATTTGCGATAACGTTTCTTTTTCAATTTCGTCAAAATTTATACATTTGAAAAAAAAAACTTAATAAATTTGAAGTTTGGAGAAAGAGATTGTTTGCCCAAACTGTCAGTGAGACAATTCTAATGGTATATTTTCTGTAATTGGTACGATGATCTGAAATAACATAATGTGTTTATTAAATTTCGTCGATTTATGTAATTTTGCATTATTATAATAAAATAAATAAAATTTTAGAAAGTCAAATTTTATAATTTTTCAAAGAAACTAAGATTTGTTGGACTGTACGTCAAGAGAGAGGAAAGTTCTGTATAACTAAACCATTTTTAGCAATATTATAATAATTTCAATATGCACTTAAATTTTTAAAATACGGCATTGACATAGACGAACATAGAAACTTTCGTTTTTGTATCGCAAGACCTGTGAAACATCCAGACAACTAGATCTCCAAAGTTGCTACATCACAGTCAGCTATCACTGTCGCTCGGAAGTAAAAATTAACCAAAGATCGTATCAGTCCGCCTAAATCAAACCCCGGCAACAGTATAACAAATTCCGGGCGTCCGTGAATAGAATACAAAATTTTAATCTCCGGAAACAAGATCGCGCATATTTCAGGGAACATCATTCCAATTTGGAAGAGGAGCGGCGCAAATTCGGCTTCCAATAAAATTTAACGGCTCATAAAAACAAGTCCGCAACGCGTTGAAATATGGCCCCGAATGCAGTCGGCCCGGCCTTATAAATAAGAAAGGCCTATGTAAAATGCAACTGCAGTCACGTGACGACATTAACATTGAACCTTGACCCAATCGGAGGGTCAGGAAAAGTGCGCGCGTCGTGGATTACTACATGCGCCGCGACGGCGAACGTCAAGCTCGTTACGGTTGAGTCAGTAAACTGTTGCTGAAGTCGTCGCGGCAACTCCTCACCGGACGCAAGAGTTTTTCGCGCCGGAGTTCTACTCAATTTTGGACGTTCACCCTGTAGACGCTCGCGTTTTTTTGAAATTATTTTTCGTGCGCAATTTAACACAAGACATTAATGTTGGAAATGTGACGTGAGCAATTTTTTTTTCAGAAGATGTCATTTATTATTTTAGGGTGTCTGGTGCTTTTGGATAAAATTTTAATTTCAGAGTGACAAGTGGAGTGATTTAAAAATATAAAGAGATGGCATATCTGTGCTGCGAATTGTGTTAATTGTTTGAATAAAATAGGGTCCTACGAAATCTTAGAGCGTTGCGGAAGCTTTCAAATGTGAGTGGACAGAGACATTCTATAATTTTTTTCAAATTTTCTGGACCAAGTGTGTACAGGGTGTTTCAAAAGCATTAATTTTGGTGTTTATTTCTCCTATGTTATTGTGTTTTTATATATATAGGTCAGACTATTGATTGAGGTGGGTCAAACTTCATGTTTTTTTGAACCTTCTGTTTAAACTGGGACGTGAATCTCAGTCACCACTTATTATACAATATTAAGCCAATGCGGTTGTAAAGGAATATAATCCTTTTCATAATGAAACGCTTTATTAATTTGCGTATTAATGCTTTGTTAGAGCAGCTCAGTGTTGTACATGACAACAATGTCGGCTTTTGCTGCGTTGCTAATTATAATAAAATTGTGAGTTGCAAATAAATAGTAGTCAAAGAATTCAAAAATTATCGGCCCATTTCAAATTAGATTTTCTTATTTTCAGTTTTCAAGTAGCCGGTTTGAATGAAAACAGATCCATTATTGCGTGCTTAGAACGTATTAAATTTTCATAATGGTTTACATCTAGAAGATGTAATGAGCCAATTTATACAGCATGTTCGAAAGATCTATGATTTAATGAAACGAGAAATATGCATATGGAAATTAGTGAAATTATTATTTCACGGTTTTATGCATTAAACACTAAAAATATTTCTTCAAGCAGCAAAATTACTTTTCAATAGTATGTTATCTAATCTAAATATAACAATAAAAACAGTCTGTGATGGGTCATGAAATTTTAATTTTGATGTTTACCTAACATTTAACCAATTGTATGTTGAGTTATCATTTAGTTCTAATCGTTTAAAAGTGATTGTTTTAACCGATCAGAAATAGAGCAATAGTTTTTTTTATTTTTAAACATAGGAAGATTTTGAGTTGCATTACATTACTTTTATCGATATTTTTTCAAATGTCTATTCTAAAAATGGTTATGTTGTTCTTGTCCTCTATAAAAACATTTATGTTATCAATGTTTTAAAAGTGTTTATTTTTGCACTTTTAGTTTTATTTTTTTAATCGTTTTACCCAGACGTCCAAGCTGTATACGACTATATTCAGTTTTCGAGTCTTCTTTCAGATATTTACAAAGAAAGTAGAACTGACGGTTTTTGTAACTGGTTATGACAATATTGTTAATATTTTTATTATTATTATTAGGTGTGAAAAATCAAAAATTGAGTAACATTGCACCAAAATCTATGAAAGAATTTAAAAAAGGGACTAAACAGAAATTTGTTTGGATTTGTTTTGATTTTTAGCCGTATTGTTGTTCACAAAATGTGTTATATTTTTCGAGATGATGTCATCAACACATTGTTAAGGATCAATACATTCCTTTGACATGTACGTTTATGTATTTTCAAAAGTTGGATCACACATTTTACAAGATCTCTTGCACAACCAATTGCTGAAGACAAAGATTTTCTCAAGTACAAGAAATATTGTTTTTCAGAACTTTTACCATAATATTCAGTAAAGATTTGTTTATTGATTCTTGAATTGATGTTAGTATATATACTTTTTTTGTTTTTGAAAAAATATATGTATTAGTTTTGACATGTTGATAGATCAGTGGTTGTCAGCAATTAAAAAACAAACGACAATTTAAAAAAAAATATTTAGCCATTAACTTTTCGGAAGGAATGAAAAATTTTAGCTGATGTGCTGTATGTATTTTTTTGGGGTATGAGTGATCAAAATAACGTAATTAACGTATTCTCTGCAGTGTTATCTTAACATCAGTTTGGTAGTTTCGAGGTTATGCGTGTACTAAACATGAAATTAAACTTTCATAAAATGACCTTATTAGATTATGTCTGTAGTCGTCGCCAGAAAAAAAAACTCATAAATTTTTGTAATAAATATCTTGGAATTTATTTTGAAAATGTAGGTTTGATCCATTTAGCTAAATTTTAATCTTAAATTTTGTATGAAATTTATGCCATATATTAGGACACACTATGTACAGTTCTGATGACGTCACAGTATTCAAAGTTATATGATGTAAAGTAAGAACCGAGAAGATCTCGTCAAACCAAACTTGGTGTTGTTTCTTCTCACTTAATAATTAAGTATTTGAAAATATTTTGCTTTCTTTCGTATCTCGCTTTAAATTTTGAGAATATTAAAATCTGAGACCTGGCTTTCTATTTTTTTTAGAGTCTGTGTTGAATCTCTGGAACGATCGGACTGATTGTTGTCAAATTTTATATGTAAATTAGGAATATCATCCAGATGGTAAAAAAAATAGAAACGCCAATTAAGTTTTATAAAACACGCAATTTTGTACTTATGGTTTATGAATCTACTGTGAATTTTTTACCCTAGGCTTACAAATTTTTGGCAAATTGGAACCATATCTACATAGCGTAACATAGCGTTTTTCTTAAACTATGACTGATATGATGTATATATTTTTTAATTTATAGAGGTTATCACAAAAAATCTAAAGACGTGGGATTTATTGGAGTGTACTTCAGGGGCTAGGGAGGTTCTATCTAAATAATTTTAGACCAATTTCTCTTATTTTGTTATTGAAATATACGTCAAAACTGTCATACTGAAAAAGCAACGCAGTGACCATTAAGTGTAGCCTTCTCATGTTATTCTTGGTATTTTTTACAATTTACCTGTAATTTTGCAATACCCAAGCTCGTTGATTGACAGGCATGTCAATTATATTAACCAGAGCTGTTTAAATTTAACAAGATAGGCCGTCAACCAATTAATGTCAACAACATTATTCATTTTATTTTTATTTGAAATTGGCAAACATATTACAAACAAATCTCTCCTTTAAATTTTTTTGTTTCGTAATTTCTTAACCTTGGTCCCAGGATGTAAGTTTTTCAATTCAGACTGTGGAGTTGACTAACTGTTTCCAAGTTTTGTTTTGTTTTGCTTGCTGATTACTCGACCGACATAGTGGAAGAGCACGTCTTAAAACAATGACCCGTATAATTTTCAGTGTTTTATTAATTTCAAAAAACTAGCGATGATAAATTTTCTGGATGATTAAACTTTTGTATCTTGTGGTGTCATTGATTCTTAGTATTATCCACGGCTAGTTTAACAAACTCTTCACAGCGACAAGTATCAAAATTCCAGATAATAAAATAACTCTTCTTAACAGCAAAAAAAAAAAATTCTACGTTTCTCTATCAAAATTGTAGCCTCTTTGGACTATTAATGTTCAAATTCTTTTCTTCACAAATTATTTGGCATAAATTTTGTAGAACTTTCATCTTCCATTACGAAAATGTGAAAAAACTTTTTACTTTCCTAGCTTAAGCTAATGAAGGATTGTAAGGTAGGCGAACTTAAAATTGGGACTATTTTTCAAACGTATTTGGTATTCAAAAAAAAACAATAATGTAAGAATAACATTATAAACTTATTTCTTAATAACTCTCAATGTTCCATTAACAGCCGCTTCATTAATTCTCTTGCGGTTGTTCCACAGCAATCGTTTGAAGTATTTTTCGTCATATTCCTTGATTTTCTTTTTTATTCGCTGCTTCAATTGCCTAAATATCGAAGCTGACCAGTTTTCTTCATAATATTAAGTACATTATTCTTTAAATGTGACCAAATAATGTTTACTTGAAGACGCTTTGTCGTTTTGGAAAGAAAAATAGGATTCATCATCATAAATGATGTCTTTTTTGGCACTGAGTTTAAAATCACCAAAAAATAGGGCATTTAATCTGGCTCTTTGTCGTTCTTATCGTTCAGGTGTCGATTTTCATGCATCTATTTTGGTATAACGGTTAATTCCTTTTTGTTTTAATATTTTCGATATGTGCCGATCTAACACATGATATTTTCTTGCAAACTTCGATACAGTCGCCCCATTTTTCTTTGAAAGTTTAACAATCTTCCGAATTTCTTCTTCCGTTAATTTTCGTCTTTTTTTTCCAGACTCTTCTTTCCTTTCTATTCCACCACCTCCATCCAATGTTTCCCAAACTCTATACATAGTGGTTTTCCCAATTACATACTTTTTTAATCCCTTAACCGTCGAATATGGAGTAATCTTTGGCTGCCTGACATACACTAAATTTATTAATTTTCTTTTTTCAAGTTCTTTTAGTGGGCCCATTGCTAATATGACAGTTTTGCTTAAAAATAAATTATCATCATAACAATCTAAACGTCATATTTAAGATAGCACTATGCAAATTGCTTCTTTATACAAAAATTGTGGAAATTAATTATAGTCCCGATTTTAAGTTCGCATACCTTAATAGGGTGCATCGGTCAAATGGCAACTTTGATGTTTTTCTTTCATGTTTTTTTGAAATTTCTTGACCCCTACTGTATGAAAACATCGGCTGAAAATTATTTCGACAGAACTTAATTTCCCACTAAAAATTTGATGACGTCATTTCATTTTCGACCACCTTCGAAAATTAGCTAAAGACATTTTCATGTAAATCTCGATATTCAGAAGTTTTTTCGGCTCCATTTTGTCGAAAACTCCTACCACTTTTCTAGAATAGCCAATGAGGAAAAATTTAACATTTTTGAAAAATTCGAAGCGTATGTCGAATATTTCGAAAATTTTGCTCTGGGACATGCTATACGTTTCAAATCGGCATTCTTGTAGATTTTTAGACCATTTTTCAAGTTCAAGTTTTCGATACCTTATGAATTGTTGATCATTTTTCGAAAATTCGTCAACAAACTTTTTTTTTTTAGAATTCAACTTCTAGAAGTTATTTTAGCCTCATTTGTTTGAAAATTTCCATTGTTTTACTGGAATCGCCGATCGAAATGTAGCAATTTTGGGATTATTAAAAATTTTTCGAATATTTCAAAAACCTTGCTCTGGAACAATAAAACTTTTACATTTCTCGAATCAGCACGTTGAGATATACAACTCAAAATTTTTGTGGATCTCTTCTAAAAAACTCAATTTTGCAATATATACTCCCCTTTTATGAAATTTTTTACCATTTTTCAACCACCCCTGAAAATTAGCTAAAGACATTTCA